AAAAAAAAAAAAAAAAAAAAGATGTAACATATTTATAGTAAGTCCTCACTTAACATCTTAAATAAGTGACTGTACGTGAAACAACTTATAACAAAACCAATTTTGTTTCTATCAATTTTATAACAAAAGGACGCTATTCAAGGACCTGCTGTATATTGCTTTGTCTAAAGTTGCAGTTTCCAAAAACTTATCAGTGATGGTAAAATTATTTTATTTTAGAATGTCAGATTTTACCATATGCCCAGAAAATATACCCCTTGCAACAATTTTTATATATGGTGAAAACTTAAGTGTCAACTTGAAAATGTGCAAGAGGATAATTTTTCCACATTCTTTTAGGAAGCATATGAGCAAGAATATTTGAATCCCACCATTCCAGGGAACACTGGCTGAGACAACTCTGGAGCCTGGCTCCAGCTCGGCTGTGTCCCAGTCCAGCTCCCTACATCCCTGCCTGCTCACCTTCTCCTGCCACCCACTGATTCTGCTGGGAAGCAGGTCTACTCCATCCCCCTCACCTTCAGCTGGACCCTCACAAATGCACAAACTCCCACGTAGAACTTGCCATTGTTCAGGTCAACAAAATCTAGGAGTGGGAAAGAAAGCAAGTTGAAGAGGACACTGAGCCCTGTGCCACAACCATTCCTCCTGCTGGCAGCTAAGTCCACCTACCTTACCTCCTCACCCACAACATCCCTTCACCGAGAGTCAGACAATGCAGAAATCCCCAGCGCTGCAGCGCAAACTCACCCACATTCTGTTGCGTGATGGAGTGTGCCCAGCCATTGTAACCAAACATCTCATTGGCCAGATTAATTACCCGATGACCCTCAATGTAACACACCTAGAAAAAAACATTTTTTCAAAGAAAAGCTGTGTTAATTCCTTACCACACTTAAATGTGAATCGAAATTTACATAATATATTCCTCATCTACTTTTTTGGATAAACTGCCCTTAAACATTCTACTTGAGAAGCTGAGCTGGGAGGATCACTTGAGCCCAGGAGCTCAAGGCTGCAGTGAGCTATGATTATGCCACTGCACTCCAGCCTAGGCGAGAGACCCTTAAGAAAAAAAAATTTTTTTCAAGAAAGCTCTCAATGAATTTATATTAAAAATCTTCCAGATGGAGCCTGAGAGAACTAACGGTCTGTTGAGAGGAGGAACTACACTCAGAGAAAGACAGCCACTCATGCAGCAGTTGGTAAAATTCAGTTTGCAAAAAGTAAAAATCTCTGTTTGACATATTTTATGGAAGACCAAAAATATACACAGAAGTTAAAATTAGAAGCAAATGATATGCAATTATGTGTCAAATATAAGTTCTTTGAAAATTATTTAATTTAAAAATAAAAAATGAAGCAAATAGCAAAAGGAACACTTTTTTTAATGGTGTAAAGGCTGGCCCACGCCTGTAATCCCAGCACTTTGGGAGGCCAAGGTGGAAGATGACTTGAGCCCAGCAGTTCAAGACCAGCCTGAGCAACATGGTAAGATGTCATCTCTAAAGAAAATTTAAAAATTAACCAGGCGTGGTGGTGTGTGCCTGTAGTCCCAGCTAGGCAGGAAGATCACTTGAGCCTGGGAGGTGGAGGCTGCAGTGAGCTGAGATGGCACCACTGGACTCCAGCCTGGGTGACACAGGAAGATCCTGTCTTTAAAATTATTTTTTAAAAAGATGATGTAAAAACCCTAAGATGGCAGTTATGCAAGTGTCAAGGCCATGCTTGGACCCCTTCAAATGAAAACGAAGTCTAGAACCCGTCCCCTCCCAGGGGCACTGGGAAACCTCCAGGAACAGTTAACAAGAGCCTTCGGAATCCCTGAGGACCCAGAGAGGGAGCTGGCAAGACCATCTGAGTCTGTTGTATGGATACCTGCTTTCCAGGCACATGAATTCTCCTACCTTCTGGCCTCCTCCAGCCATGCGGCTACTTATATATTCTGGGCCCAGCCTCTGCCTCAGGGCCTTCTGGATGGCCTGGTACTCTTCTGCTGTGTACTGGTGCTGCAATCCCAAAAACGAAAATTAAATTCACACTTCCACCATTTCTCACATCACTGATTCTCCAGCTTTTTGGCCTTAGGACCCCTTTATACTTTTAAAAAGTAGCAAAGACCCACCTCTCCTCCCCCACAACCTTTGTTTATGTGGGTTACATTTATCCTATTAGGAATTAAAACTGAGAAACTTTTAAGGCATACATGCCACTAGACATCATAGCAGTGACATCACATATCATGCAGTGTCTGAAAACTCTACCGTTCACTCATGAGACAATAAGTGTGAAAGAGGCCAACAGTATTATTATGAAGATAATTTTGACCTCCTGGACTCTGAAAGATCTTCAAAAACCCCAAGAGTTCCAGGACCACATTTTGAGAACTGCTGCCTTAGCTGTTGACCAACCTTATAAATGTTTCTGAAGCTTATGAAACTAAAATGTCCTGCCTCCAGATCTGTAAATGACGTCAGCACAGGAAGCAAGTATGGAAAGAGCACGGGGACAGGAAGCCTTGCTTCCATTTGTCCTTTCCAGAGACTGACACCTTCTCCAATGCAACAGTTTCCCATCCTGCACAAACAGAAACACACTACTGCTTGCTGGTTTGGGTTGTATACCCCTTACCCTAATCGGATGAGACGAATACTCACAAACAACCCTCTGGTAAAGACAAAGATGGAGTTTGAGTGGACAAAGCAAGAATCTCTTTTCTATGCACACAACGTCCCTACAATATGACTCCCAGTAACTTTCCATGCCTCCAAGACAGAAAACTGGGACCAGGCACGAATCCCAGCACTTTGGGAGGCCAAGGTGGGCAGATCATGAGTTCAAGACCAGCCTGGCCAACATGGTGAAACCACGTTTCTACTAAAAATACAACAAATTAAGGCCAGGCGTGGTGGCTCATGCCTGTAATCCCAGCACTTTGGGAGGCCAAGACGAGTAGATCACCTGAGTTCAGGAGTTCGACACCAGCCTGGCCAACTTGGTTAAACCCCATCTCTACTAAAAATACGAAAATTAGCTGTGGTGGTGCATGCCTGTAATCCCAGCTACTTGGGAGGCTGAGGCAGGAGAACTGCTTGAATCCAGGGGGTGGAGGCTGCAGTGAGCCAAGATCATGCCACTGCACTCCAGTCTGGGTGACAGAGCAAGACACAGTCTAAAAAAAAAAAGAGAGAAAGAGAACTGGGTGGCATGCAGACAGGAGCAATTGAAAATAGGGGAACTTTTCACAGTTTCATTTTGAATTTGATGTTATACAAATATGTTATCTACTCAAAAAATCAATTTAAATCTAAATCTAATCCCCAGTACTATCAGTCTTTTGATAGCTAATGTTCCAAAATGGCCTCCAGAGTTCACAAAAGACCCCCAAATAATGCATCTAAAGGAAGAACCAGTAACAACAAATAGTTCACAAGTGTACTACACATAGATGTACTATGTACTGCTCATACATGTATGTACTATGATGCTCTACAAACTGCCTTGCCCTAACTTTACTTAACCGCATTCTTTCCAGGGATGAAGGAAACACAGTTACCTGTCCAAAGCATAACACCGAGCTGCCGCCAGCAGCAGGATGGCTGTCACGCCCTCCAAGAATTGCTCCCTCAGTCCCAGACATCTTGATTCTGATTGACCTCTATATAAATAAAATAAAATAAAAATCTCAAAGAATGTTTAAAGGCAAGAGTCTCTACTGAAAAATCACATAAAGCATCCATATGCAACATCCTATGAGTTATTTATAAACTTCTAAGCACTGCTCCAATCTAGAAGAGTTCTTCAGTGGTTAGCTACGGTCTCTCAAGCTGCTGAAGATCCTTTAAAGTTTGCTTCTACCTTTCTATAAACATGTTTGCTATTGTGGTGGTGCTATTAAAGGTGACTTTTACAATAAGAATATATTACATTTGTAACTATAAAATCAAAATTACAAAGATATTCTTTATGGGAAAGCAAAAAAGTTTACTATAAGCGGGGTACAGTGGCTCATGCCTGTAATCCCAGCACTTTGGGAGGCCGAGGTGGGTGGATCATGAGGTCAGGAGTTCAAGACCAGCCTGGCCAACATGGTGAAAACCTGTCTCTACTAAAAATACAAAAATTAGCCCGGCATGGTGGCAGTTGCCTATAATCCCAGCTACTTGGGAGGCTGAGGCAGAGAAATGCTTGAACCCAGGAGACAAAGGCTGCAGTGAATCAAGATTGCGCCACTGCACTCTAGCCTGGGCAACAGAGTAAGACTCTTTCTCAAAAAAAACAAATTTACTATAGGTTGAGCATTGCTAATCCCAAAATACAAAATTAAAATGCTCCAAAATCCGAAACATTTTGAGTGCCAAGATGATGTGCTGTATCTCAAAACATAGGTGATGGCCAGGCACGGTAGCTCAGACCTATAATCCCAGCTCCTTGAGAAGCCAATGCAGAAGGACTGCTTGAGCCCAGGAGCTTGAGACTAGTCTAAACAGCAAAACCGTATCTATACAAAAAATTTAAAAATTAGCCAGGCATGGTGGTATGCTACTTAGGAAGCCAAGGTGGGAGGATCGCTTGAGCTCAGGAGTTTGAGGCTGCAATGAACTATGATCACCCCACTGCACTCCAGCCTGGGTGACAGAGCAAAACTGTCTCAAAAAAAAATAACCCAAAAAGGCAGGCACACAACACATAGTTTATTCAACTTCTCCAAGAGAAAAATACAATTATTGGCTAGATGCAGAGGCTGACGCCTGTAATTCCAGCACTTTAGGAGGTCAAGGCGAGCAGATCACCTGAGGACAGAAGTTTGAGACCAGCCTGACCAACATGGTGAAACCACTTCTCTATAAAAATACAAAAAGCTGGGCGTGGTGACGCACACCTGTAATTCCAGCTACTCGGGGGGCTGAGGTGGGAGAACAGCTTGAACCCAGAAGGCAGAGTTTGCAGTGATCCAAGATTGCACCACTGCACTCCAGCCTGGGTGATAGAGCAAGACTCCATCTCGAAAACAAAAAAAGAAAACCTGCCAGGCACAGTGGCTTACACCTGTAATCCGAGCACTCTGGGAGCCTGAAGCAGGCGGATCACGAAGTCAAGAGACCGAGACCATTCTGGCCAACATGGTGAAACTCTGTCTCTACTAAAACTACAAAAATTAGCTGGGCATGTTGGCACATGCCTGTAGTCCCAGCCACTCGAGAGGCTGAGGCAGGAGAATCACTTGAACCCAAGATGGAGGTTGCAGTGAGCCAAGATTGCACCACTGCACTCCAGCCTGGTTACAGAGCCAGACTCCATCACAAAAAAAAAAAGAAAAAAAAATTATCTTTAGGCTCTGAGTATAAGATATATAGAAAACAAATGAATTTCATGTTTAGACTTGGGTCCCATTCCCAAGATATCTGATTATGTATATGCAAATATTCCAGAATCTGAAGTCTAAAACACTTCTGTTCCCAAAGCATTTCAAAGAAGCAATACTCGGCCGGGCGCGGTGGCTCAAGCCTGTAATCCCAGCACTTTGGGAGGCCGAGGCGGGTGAATCACGAGGTCAAGAGATCGAGACCATCCTGGTCAACATGGTGAAAC